GAGCAGCTGCAGCTGCTCCTCAGTCAGGCTCATGTGGAAGCGCTCCTTCAGTCCTCGCATGGTGCTGGAGCCGTGGAAACAGGGCAGCTGGGAGCCTGGAGGGGCACAGAGAGAGACTGGGTCACACCTGAGGGGGGAACACAGGGTCTCTGAGTGGTCCTGACAGCTCACCCTGCTGCATGATCTCCACAATCTGCAGAACCCGGTCCATGTGCTTCCTGGCTGCTATCAGACCCTGAAGCATCAGCATCTTGTAGTAGTTAAACATGTCACCGTCTGGACCTCCCATCACCTGTCAGACAAGATGGAGGGTTTATTATCACCTGTCAGACAAGATGGAGGGTTTATTATCACCTGTCAGACAAGATGGTTTATTATCACCTGTCAGACAAGATGGAGGGTTTATTATCACCTGTCAGACAAGATGGAGGGTTTATTCCACCAGCTCAGAAGCATTTGGATGTGATTTATTTTTGTTTTTAATTTAACCAGAGTCTCACAGAACAAAACAAATAATAAAGATATATTTGTTTGCTCTCAAATGACACCTGGGACCACCTGACTGAGGATCAGAGGACACCTGGGATCACATGGGACCACCTGAGACATACCTCCACGAACTCTGCGGTGAGCTTGAAGGCGGAGGTCTCGAAGCCCAGGTTTCTGGGAGAACTGGACAGGATGAAGCCAAAGTCAATGTGGATGATGTGTCCCTCAGCGTCCAGCAGGATGTTTCCATTGTGCCTGAGAGGACAGAGGACACAGGTAACCTGCCTGTTCTCTACCTGTGCACCAAGTGTCTCACCTGTAACTCCTGTCTCACCTGTCACTCGTGTCTCACCTGTCACTCGTGTCTCACCTGTAACTCCTGTCTCACCTGTCACTCGTGTCTCACCTGTCACTCGTGTCTCACCTGTCTCCCCTGTCACTCATGTCTCACATGTCTCACCTGTCACTCGTGTCTCACCTGTCACTCGTGTCTCACCTGTCACTCGTGTCTCCCCTGTCACTCGTGTCTCACCTGTTGCTCATGTCTCACCTGTCACTCGTGTCTCACCTGTCACTCATGTCTCACCTGTCACTCATGTCTCCCCTGTCACTCGTGTCTCACCTGTCTTTGACCTGCAGCAGGTAGCAGATGAGGCTGTAGCCGGCGCAGCTCTGGACAAAGTTCCTCTGTGCGGACAGGAAGGCCTCGGTGGTGGGAGCACCGTGCTCCTGCAGGAAGTAGTCCAGCAGGGACAGCTGGCTCTGCTTCTTCACCTGGTGCAGAGACACAGCGTTCATCACAGGCTCTATCATCCCACTGTCTGCTGACAGGACCAGGATCTTATAGGGCTTGATCCAGATGGGGACACGCTCCTGCTCCCAGATGGACTGTAGGTCAGAGACAGAGACAGGTCAGAGACAGAGACAGGTCAGAGACAGAGACAGAGAGAGACAGGTCAGAGACAGAGACAGGTCAGAGACAGGTCAGAGACAGGTCAGAGACAGAGACAGGTCAGAGACAGGTCAGAGACAGAGACAGATCAGAGACAGGTCAGAGACAGAGACAGGTCAGAGACAGGTCAGAGACAGGTCAGAGACAGAGACAGGGAGAGACAGGTCAGAGACAGAGACAAGTCAGAGACAGAGACAGGTCAGAGACA